TTAAAATAATAACTTTTAAAGAATACATTACACTTTACAAAATAAAAGTTACAATTGATTGAGGTAAATCATCATCGATCACAAATCAGGGAATGTCGTGATCAATAAGAAATAATTGTAACTTCTCCTTTGTAGGGGCAATCTTCACCAATGATCAATTTCGGTATGATAAAATTTTCTTTTAATACTGTAGGCTCATTCTATGTGTTATATTCAATGATGTATCGCTTGGACAGATTAGCATATATTAAAAACTAAAATAAAAATTGATTGTATAAATAGATCATTCAGTTTTGCTGATCAAACTGATCTTTTTTTTTTTTTCCTTAAAGATGAAAAAGACTTTGCTTAACCATAATTACACTGTTAATGGACCCTTGAGACCGACATTCACAGATCACATTGGATATATATATATATATATATATATATTTCTCTCTTTCTTCTTTTTGAACACAAAGGACAGCACTAATCCATCTACAAGTTCATATATTACTTGTTTTAATCAAAGCATTTCTAAAGTTGTGGTTCAAGTGTTCACTTTGGACCACTACTAAGCACATAAAGGCCATATTAATTAATTTCTACAGAGACCAAGACCCTTATTCAGTGGACATGGGTCGGCTTCACGTCATGCATACTTCACATAAGTAAGGGGAAGTGAAAAGTGTTAGAAAATATAATAAACAAGAATATTTGAAAGGGAGGACAGCCTACGGTATCGAAATCTGTATTCTACCGAAAAATATTGAAAAAGTAATGGCTGAATGTGATAAAGTTAGACGGATGAAAAAAAAAAATTAACCCTATTGAGTTGTACTTGACTTGTTTAAACTCTAATTTGATGTGATTAGCCATAACTTTTAATACGATATCAAAAAATATCTTTGATACGATTGCTTTAGCTGAATGTATCGGACAAAAGTGCAGCACTAATGAGGATAAGTCCAATTGAAGCACTAAACCTAGTTTTGGACGATAATGCTTTGTACAGCATATTCACACACACACACACACACACATATGAGCTTTTTCAGTAATATCTTCAAAGCTGATGAACTGAATCAGCATATGATCATGCCACATTTCCAAACTAAAAAGGATTGAAAAACACCTACATACCTATAATCGAATTAGCAGTGGACTTCATTGAATATCGAGATTCAAGATCCCATGATATTTGAGCTAGTTGTTTGATTATCAACCCTTAAAATGGTTCATGCCTATAGATTGGCTAAGAGCACTGATACCAAACTGGAAAAAAAACAACAACTATTTAATACAAATAATAAATGATTTAGGTCACTGTTGAATATATATTAGAGCAATACTATTAGAACTTAATTTATTGTTCTAATTTGTCGACCTAATTCACTATAACCTTTAGATTGATTGTGGGACCCATCAAACATTGGAACTTAGTGTTGATCCAATGGTTCTACTGAAACTACATCATTATATTAGCAAATTAAATCAGATTTTTATGTCTAAATAGTATTACTCTATATATAAATGTCATGATTCTTACATGAATAATCTATTCTAGTAGTCTGGTAAAAGGAATTTTCTTTTATTTTTTGTTGTTGTTGATCTTGTATTATATGAATTGATTTTGAATTCAAAAACTTTTAATTTCATTTTACAAGGATGTAAGTCAAACAAATTTGTAATTCTAATCCTATGTGCTGTGAATTTGATTAACACAAAATGCATCCCAATCCTAAGTTTTTTGGTTCACTGATAATACGAAAATGAGCATGACATAACATAATAAAGATCTAAAATAAAGCAATTTGAATTCGAAATAACACGGTTTGAATACGACACAGAGCAACTCGTCTACAACTCTTATAATTGGCTTGACTATTGGTCGAATTGACATAATCAATAAAGGTTCTAGTTTCCATTCAAGCTGATCAAAAGTTAAGTGCTCAACATCTATTGGCAAATCCATCTAAGGCCCATTTGCCTTTCCATTTCCCCAAGAAAGAAAATGCAAGAAGAATCATATAGAGATTGCTAATGGCTTGACTCTAGTGGAACAATCACACTCACAACAAATGTATATATATATATATCATGTTAAACAAGACATGATTTATGTATATTCTGTCCGGTTGATTATAACTCAACATATATGTTAATGTCTGTGACCATTAAAAAGGAGGAAGAAGTGGGGGATGGGATGGGCGTGGGGGAGAAAGGAGGAGAGCGAAAAACCCTAGAAAATGGAGATGAGGAAAGCATGCTGTGTGTGACAAAGACCACACACTGTATATTCCCTTCGAGAAAGAGATCGAGGAGGGTCCCATTCCTTAAGGGAGGGGCGCACGAGCTACCATTATTGTAGAGTAAAGATATCCCACTTTTCTCTCTCTCTCTCTGTATATATATACAAATGTAGATAGATATATGTGTGTGTGTCTATACACCCACAAACACACATATCTACTTTAGAGCCCCACTGTTCCTCTCCTTCCTTTTTGCCTTCACCTGTAATTCCTTATTCTTTATGTTCTCTCTCTCTCTCTCTTCGGTGAGAGGGAGAATCCAAGACGATAATATAAAGCGTCCAAACAAAAGAGGTTGAAGAATGTTGCTTTTTCTTACATGCATGAATTTCATCCATTTCTCTGACAAGCAGCCCTCAATTGTGCCTTAAAATTACTCTTAACGCCGGACTATATATTTTTTTCGGAAGATAAATAATTTCATTAACCAAAAATATATACCTATACAAGACCAGAGTACAATAAGTGTCTTTGTCGCCGAAGACACGCAGCTGTCTCCGAGTGGAAGTGCCCTCGGAGCCGAGGACATGCGTTTGTCATAGAACAAGAGTACCTCAGCACCAAGTGCACGTGTCAGGCAAAGCAACGAGACGCCTTTAGAACAGTGGACTTGTGCCTCCATCAAAACAAAAGACGTGTCATCGATATCGAGGACACGTGTCTTTGTTAAAATACAGTATTCTCTCAATATCTAGGACGTGTGTTGACGATCTAATCTTTTCTCAAAAGTGTTCCATCAAAAAGTTTCTCCTTATAATTCCCACTTCCCAGCTCGTTGATCCCTATTTCGCATCGGCGTGGGGCTAAGTACCGCAGATATGACAGCACTCAACACGCCCTCGTACATCCACACTTGGCTTCAATTGATTTAGAATATTGTATTCTTCAACTAGCTTTTCCTTTGCGTTATAGATATAGAGACCATGTATGTATATTCCAGTGAGTATGTGAATATCTATTTGTAGGAAAAGCAAGTCGAAGAGTACAATATTCTGAAACAAGAAGCCATCATAATTTGGTCCGACAAGCATTATTTATTTGGGGTACAATTTGACGGGTTGGACAATCAATTTTAATCAAATTCTAGATATATGATTTTCAACTCTAACCCTAACCCTATTTCGAGTTGAGAAACTCAACCCGAGCATTGATCGAGTTTAATTCGGGCAGACTTGTGTTGAATTCGACTTGATGATTTCAGGTTACTTTACGAGTTTAATTCAGGTAGAGCTCAAAATTGGCTTGTTGTTCTAAACCTAATACGTATATTATATAATATTCACCTAAATTAACAACCAATAATTTTAACCAAGTTTTTAACGAGAAAGACTGAGAGAACTAGAGAGACAAAAAGAACGATAAAACAAAAATAAAAAATTAGTGCTAATGTTTTTTTTATATATATATATATATATATAATTTTTTTTTTAATTTGTCGGATTCAGGTTGAACTCAGGTTCACGAGGCCTTAACCCGAGCCCAACCCAAATTGAATTCAGGTTGGGGTTTTTTGACCCGAACCCAACCCAAATATTAAAAACTCTTGCCCAAGCCCTAATTTTTTCGGGTTGGGCTGGGGTTGAAATCGGGTTGCCCAACCCAAGTTGCACCCCTATTATTTATGCATGCCAGTGACAACTGTGGCAACAGTATTCGAATCTAGGGTTAGGGCTTTAATCATTCAAAAACCTCTTTTCTCTTCATAGATGGCTGTTGGGGAATATAATTGTTAGTGTGTTTTATATCTCATTACAAGAAAAAAGAAGGGGAAAATCAATTCTCATTGCTCGACATAGTGATGTAAAGACAAAAGATTAAACTGGAATTAAAAAACCAAATAATCAATTACTTGACAACATAGGTTATAAAAATTAATCTTGTGATAGAGGTAGAAATTTAGAAAAATTAATATTATTGACATCTAAAAATTTAACTTAATTTAATAATTAAATAATATGATAGCTGATATATATGATTAATAATCGAGCCAAGTTTGTCGAGCTCTTTTTTAAAATCAATTTAAAATATTGTTCAAGTTCGATTTGTTTAGAAAAAGAATTGAGTCTAAGTTGAGCTCAAAATAAGTCAAACTTGAGCCCAGTTTAAATAGTTCAAATATTTTACATATAAGTAAGCCAAGTTTACGAGCTTAAGCCGACGAATCTACAAAAGTTTTTAAGCTTGACTCGTTTAGAAGTCAAGCTTGAATTGAGTTCTATCCAAGTTGAGCCTGAGTAGCTTGACTGAATTATCAGTTCTACTGATATGGTCTAATAATATTATTATTACTACGACTCTATATTTTTATTTTTTTTGGAGCCATATCACTTATTATAACATTAGATCAACAGATTTTGTTGGATTTTTAGATTCAAAGAATATATATTAAATTAAAAAATGTAAACATGCATTGGTATTTTATGTAGGAGATTGTATATCATCCTTGTAAATAAGTACAAGAACAAAGGCAATCTCACTTTGGGTCATAAAACTTTCAAACTTTTCAACGGTTACAGAAATTCGTGTCACTATCCAAAGTCGGTCAAAAGAGCATTTTAGTAACATCCGACAAAATCAGAGGCCCTCCCAACATCGATCCCTGTCTTTGCCCTTTGAAGGTGCAATCTCGTAAATATCTTCCATCTCCATGTCCAATTACCCATTCTAAAACCCTCTATTTATACAATCAATTTCCTACTTTCAAACCCTACCCTAGTCACTTCATCACCTTCAAACAAAATTTCTCATCTTTACCATCTCTCCCCCAGTTTGCTAAATCTCAAAAAACCCAAATCATGACATCTTGGTACGTTGTCAAACATTCAACCAAGTTGTTATGACAATTCATATATACATATATAAATGTTGTATATGTATATACATGTATGTGCTTATAATGTTTAATAGAGGCTGTGAAATTTATTCATGCAAAAGCTATTTGTTCTTTGGATTCTCCATCATATGGAGCTCTAATATTGTTACTTTGCTGTCGTTGATTATGATTTTAGTATTTAGTTTCATGTTACATATGAAAAGACTCTATGTTGGAACTTCTGTTTATATTTACTTAAGTTCATTACCTTTATAAGCATCGGATCCGAGGTTTAAAAAGATGTGTTTTTTTTTTGGGCTTGTGACAGAAAGTGATCGATCATATGAAGTAGCTGAAAGTTTCTGGAGTTTCTCAAATCTCAATCTGTCTTGAAGCTCGATAATATTGGAGTAGTGTACATCGATGATATAAAATTCTTCAGCAAAAGATGGTCAAGAAAGGATCCAAAACACGGGTACTATTTTTCGTATTAGTGTTTATATTCGTGTTCTTTAGCTCGTGGACATCCATTAACGGATATGAGTTTGATCTCTTGCTATCTGTCAAAGCTTCAATCAATGATCCATTAAAGTCTCTCTCCAACTGGAACTCTTCCCTCCCGTTTTGTCAATGGAACGGTATCGTCTGTGATAATTCATCCCAGGTAGCCAAAATCAATCTTTCCGGGAAAAATATTTCTGGAAAAATCTCAGCATCAATTTTCCAGTTCCCATATATTGAAAACATCGATCTTTCGAGTAATCAGCTAGCCGGTGAAATTCCAAGGAACATCTCTTCTTGTTTGTTTCTTAAATATCTAAATCTAAGCAACAACAATTTAACAGGTCCAGTGCCCATAGGCTCCATTCCACGACTCGAGAGGTTGGATTTATCAAACAACATGCTTTACGGGAAAATCCCAGAAAATATTGGTCACTTTTCCGGTCTCAAATTTCTTGACTTTGGTGGAAATGTTTTGGGTGGAAGAATTCCAAATTCAATAACCAACATGACAAGTTTGCAGTTCTTGACTTTGGATTCAAACCAATTAGTTGGTGAAATTCCAAGAGAATTGGGCTTGATGAAGAGTTTGAAGTGGATATATTTGGGTTACAACAATTTCTCTGGCGAAATTCCGGCAGAGATCGGCGATTTAGCTTCATTGAACCATGTTGATCTTGTATGCAACAATCTCACCGGAAAAATCCCATCTTCTCTCGGCAATCGCACCAATCTTCAGTACCTTTTTCTCTACCTCAACAAGCTCAGTGGTTCTATTCCTCACTCCATTTTTGGTCTCAAAAGTTTAATCTCTCTTGATCTAAGTGATAACTTTTTATCTGGTGAAATTCCTGAACTTGTAATTCAGTTGCAAAACTTGGAAATTTTCCATCTGTTTTCCAACAACTTTTTCGGAAAAATTCCAAATGCTTTAGCTTCTCTCCCTCGCCTCCAAGTCCTTCAACTATGGTCGAACAAGTTTTCCGGTGAGATTCCAAAGGACCTTGGAAAACTAAACAATCTCACTGTCTTAGACCTCTCTACTAATAAACTCACCGGAAAAATTCCAGAAAACCTTTGCGAATCCAGAAGTCTTTTCAAGCTCATCCTCTTCTCCAATTCCCTTCAAGGTGAAATACCAAAGAGTTTGAGTCACTGCAAGAGCTTGAAGCGAGTTCGTCTTCAGAACAACCAACTCTCCGGCGAATTGTCATCGGAATTCACAAAACTACCTCTTGTTTACTTCCTTGATATCTCAGACAACAATCTCTCCGGCAGGATCAGTGGGTGGAAATGGGACATGCCGGAACTTCAAATGCTGAAATTGGCGAGAAACAAATTTTCCGGCGAGCTACCTGAGTCGTTTGGTAGTTCAAAGCTCGAAAACATGGACTTGTCGGAAAATAAGTTCTCCGGTGGCATTCCAGTGACTTTTGGGAGCTTCACAGAACTAATGATGTTAAATCTAAGTACAAACAAGCTCTTGGGTACTATTCCAGATGAATTATGTTCATGTAAGAAGCTTGTGAGTCTTGATCTTAGCCATAATCAGCTAAGTGGTGATATACCCAGAAGTTTATCTGAAATGCCTGTTCTTGGTCAGCTTGATCTGTCAGTGAACCGATTGTCCGGTGAAATCCCTGAAGCTTTGGGCACAGTTGAATCACTTGTTCAAGTGAACATTTCTCACAACCATTTCCATGGAAGTTTACCGTCCACCGGAGCATTTCTTGCTATTAACTCAAGTGCAGTCGCCGGAAACAAACTCTGCGGTGGTGATTCTACAAGTGGTTTACCGTCATGCAAAGGTGTTAAAAACCCAGTTTGGTGGCTGATTATCACTTGTTTTCTCATCGTCTTGGTGGTGCTTGCACTTGCAGCTTTCTTCATTGTTTTAATTCGAAGGAGAAGTGATTTGGAGCTCAAAAGAGTGGAAAGTGAAGACGGAACATTAGAACTTCAATTCTTCGATTCCAAGGTCTCAAAATCCATAACCATTGATGATGTTTTATCATTATCCAGAGAAGAAAATAGGGTTTCATTGGGAGGACAATCATCAACCAATAACATGCAATTCATAGCAGAAAAAATGGATGAAACCAACATAATTCCAATGGGTTTTTGGACAGAAGTTGCTGAACTAGGTAAGCTTCAACATCCAAATATTGCTAGACTGATTGCAATATGTAAGTCTGATAAAGGTGGGATTTTGGTTTATGAGTACATTGAGGGGAAGAGTTTGAGTGAAGCTCTTTGTGGCCTGAGTTGGGAACGCCGGCAGAGAATTGCCGTCGGGGTCGGAAAAGCTCTTCGTTATCTGCATTGTCATTGTTCACCGAGTATTACAGTAGGTGACCTTTCGCCGGAGAAAATTGTTGTTGATAGGAAAGATGAGCCACGCCTGAGATTGAGTGTGCCCTGGTTGGTTTGTACGGATACCAAAAATTTCATCTCTCCGGTCTACGTTGCGCCAGGTACTTTGACTAATTTATCCCCCCACTTATAATATTATTTTAACATAAAAATTTGATATAATTTATCAACATAATAATTTAGATTCATTATAATTATTTGATCAATATTAAGTTCCAATATTTAATAGAGTGCACAATCAATCCATTGATTATAGTACATTATGTAAACAAATTTAGCCGAATAAATTAGATTTAAATTTCATTTTTTGTGGGTATTGTATGTGTTTTTTTTTTGGTTGTATTATTAGCAATTAAGTCACACATAATCAAGTCTTCCCTCTATTATATTGAAATAAATTCTCTAAATAATAAGAATAATATTATTTACACTTAATTTATTAATTTAATTTAATGACTTATTCACTCGTAATCATTGAATTTAACGTAAATCCCATCAATCAAATGGTAATAATTCATTAAAACAACAAATTATATCAACAGTCCAAATAATATTACCCAAATAAAAATGTTATTTTGAAGAAAGCACAAGGCACAAAAGACCTACTCATGTCGGTATTAGGGCTACAGTGATCATGCTATCTTGAGAGTTATTGGTCAAAGATGTTTGAGCCAGCTTACATGTATTTTGGTTAATCCTTTTTTTGGTCTAGTCAAAGACAAGTCATCCACGTCAGAATTAGAGTATTCATGAGGTATAAAATCCCTTATAATTTGATCTTAAAAAGTTGTCAAAATTCAAACTCAAAATATTTACATTTACAACTAATTCCTGTTATCACTTAAACTACGTTGGAGTTAAAAGAGTTACTAATTGCACACTATTTATAGCCTAAATGAAAGAATTTACGTCCAGAATCCGAGGAACTATAGGTAGCATCCTCACACTTGCGAAAATGATAATATTGAGACCCTTGCTTATTAAAACTAAAACATAACTAGCTAACACCAAATTCCCTCATAGACACAAATTTTATGTAAGTAGAAAATGTGTTAGGAATTAGGATCTTTTCCTTCCTTTTTGACAAGGTCTAACAAACTTCAAAGGTTGTTCAAGTGATAAAAATAATAAGTTATAAATTCAAATGTCTTAAATTTGAATTTTGACAATTCCTTAGAGTCAAATTACGAAGAATTTATTGGCAAGAGAATTGGTTGAAATACTTATAAAATGACTCGAATACATCTGATTACCTAAATACCTCTTACCGTTCAACCCAACTAAAATTTATTCTCTTTTGAGTGGGTTGGCTATTTTACATCAATAATAAACGTTACCAATTTTAGTCCTATTTTTTGCCATTATTTAGAAGAGTTTTTTTTTTTTGGCCCACGCACACACATGAAATATATTGAGCAGATCATATACTATCAAGGCTATAGTTAATATTTTTCACTTGTAGTGTTACAAGGACTACAAGCTGTGTGACAAACTATTTCTGTGACTGGCAATTTTTCATCTTTCTTCATATCCATGCACGTATTTGTATATAACCCACTATAGTGTAATCCTTTTGAGTATTAAATGTATCCCGCAGAAGCCAGAGAAACCAACCAGATAACTGAGAAGAGTGACATCTATGGTTTTGGTCTCTTGCTAATAGAATTACTGACCGGAAGAAGTCCGTCTGACCGGGAGTTCGGTCTGCATGAGAGCATTGTTGAATGGGCTCGTTATTGCTACTCAGATTGTCATCTAGAAATGTGGGTCGATCCTAATATCAAGGGAAGTGCAATGAAATTTCAGAACGACATCGTCAAGACCATGAATCTTGCTCTTCAATGCACCGCCGGTGATCCAGCGGCAAGACCATCCGCGAGGGATGTAGCTAAAACCCTAGAGTCAGTTGTGAGTTCGAGTTCTTGTGTTTTAGGGTTGATGTTTTCTTCTTGTACTTAGTACTTTTGGGTTTCTAACTCCATATGATTTTTGTCTAGCTTCTTGATTTTTTTATCTTTTTTTTTTTTATTGCTTTTGTATGAGATCCTAAGGAAGTGTTGCTCAAATGTTTTGTTTGATGTTATGTTGACATGGTAGTGAGTGTAAAAAATATAGATAAAATTAAATGCCAATATATATGAATTACAGTTCCTCTTCTTAAACATGACTCCTTTTTGTATTTTTTTTTTTCATCAGTTATGAATGTGCGCACCTCTAATAAGTTGTATTTCTTTTGTTATCTCTTCTCTATATGAAATTACTCTTTGGGTTAAAACCAAACAATCTCAAGTTCAACTTATGACATTTCACGTACAAAACTGAGTGGTTTACCAGAAAACAAAAAGTGGTTATTAATCTGTATGATTTCTTTTTTGTTTTGTGTGGGTGGGTGTGTTGGGGGGGAGGGTGTTGAGGGGCTGTCAGAGGACACTTTCTTACCCAGGATGCCTTGTGGAACTCCTGATCTCCAAAGGAAATTCTCTCTCTCTCTCTCTCTCTCTCTCTCTTGGGTGAATTAGGCTTAGTGGGTAAGTGGAAGTTGAAAAAATTCTCACAGAACTTACTTTCTTTTACATGTAATGATAGCAAGAGTTACATTTTTCATGTGAAGAGAAAAGGAAAACACAACGTTACAAAAAAAAGGACTGCACTTTTCACCGCCTACAGTTTGATTCCTGTATATAGTTTCTTTTCCTTTTGTCCGTCCCTTCTTCAAAGTGGCATTCATCATTGTATTTTTCTTTGTTGTGGACTTTATTTCATGGCTTACTTGGGCAATCTTTTTCTCCGTTTTTCTCCTTTTCTTTTGCTTTAGAGTGTCCATTATGGCTTTGGCTATTATAAGGCTCTTACATTCTAATAATAGCAGCCGGGCAACGCACGGAATTAATAGTTTATCTCAACCACCACCCTACGCTCACCCTTTGCCTTCAACCCTACCCATCACAACCCTAATATTATTAAAAAATTACTCATCAATGTGATAACATAATTTTTTTTAAAATTTAATGTGAAATAGTAAAAAATAATGAAAAGAAATTTTAATTTGGAACGTTTGAAAAGATACGGTAACTAAAAGAAGATGAAATATAGTTGTATGCGTATTGAATATCCATGGAGAAATCTTAATAGCAGTTTGAGTAAATGCTTTTAAAACAAGTTGGCGAACAGGTAGTTTAAAAATAACATGGAATTAGTAGTGGTGCTTCCAATTATTTATGTGGGTTTATGTGTCCTGGTGGTAAGAATTGATTAGATGTTGATTAATTGAATTATTCAAAATTTTATTATTTTAGAAAAGGGAGAGGAAATGCTTGTACCCATGGTACCAAGCATCTCCAGGGTTCAGTCTCCTCGAAAAACTTTGATACTTTTAGACTCTAAATATATATGAACGCAACTTGACCAGTTCAATTCAAAACAAACCTTAAAAAGTATACCATATCTAAGCAACAATTTTTAATATTTTGATTGATTTTGGACAAGAAATTCAAACCAGATTTAAATTCAGGTGGTATTTTCAGATTCAAACCAAACTCTAATTGAATTCGAATATGAGGCACAGTTAAACTTGATTTTAACTTGAGAATTAAATTCCAATTTTAGCTCGGCTTATACAATTAGAGTGGCTAAGAGTTGTATAAGTTGGGTCGAACTGTCATACATGCCCAACCCAATTGGGTTGCACCCTTATGCTCTGTTTAATACGATGAAAAAATAGAATGATGAAAAATTAGAAAGATAAATAAAATTTTATATTTAATAAGAAAAGAAAATAAGAGAGATCGAAAAGTGGATGAATGAGTTTTCCTTCTAACTCACTAAAATTAGAAGGAAAATGGATGAAAAGTTAATTATTTGTATTAAAATATATCTTATTATCTATATATCATTTGATATACACATATATTGTGTATATATTAATTTTATATATCAATATAATCATATAATATGTATTTATATTTTAAAAAAAATGAAAAATTAAAAATTAAAAAATATTTTTCCATATTAGCAAGCACAAAAAAAGAAATTAATCATTTTTGTTTTTCATTCATCCTACCAAACACAAAGAAAGAAAATTATAGCATTCCTACTTTCTTTTCTTTTTAAGGAAGGATAGAAAGTGCATCACTTCTACTTCTCATCCTTCATACCAAATAGAATATTAGTAAAAACACATTATCAGAGAGTTAAAATAGATTTTGACTTGTTTAATCAGATCAGCAAATTAAGTCTCAATATTATTATTTAATAAACCAAGTCTCCACATTCCATATATGCATGTATACAAGTGCATACACCGGATAAGGATATGGCACCACAGAAGTACTGTGCTGAATTTTAATTCGGACCACTAATTTTTATTTGAGTGATTTACAGGATTAAAAACAAAAGTGTACTTATATAAATAAGGAGACTGTTTATGACAATTACTTAATAGGTCTCCTCATACCCTAGGAATCTTTACGTGTATAGGGTCTCTATAGGAGGGAAGAGAGAAAAAAATATATATTTAAAAAGTTTATATGCAATTTTTTTATTTGATAAAAAATAAGTATAGTATCAAAAAGTGGCACTTTAATACCACAATCGGACCATCTGCACACCACATATTGTGTTTAGCACGAGAAACGGGTTCCAAGGCAAGTGTCTGTAGTCAATAAACCATCAATTGTCAAGAATTCTCAGGTAGCAGCTTTCCTACATAATGTTTCTTACATGTAGAGCAAGAACAAACCATGCATTGCTACTGAATCTTTGATCAACATCAAAAATTCTCAGTATTGGAGGGGACCATTGTACTAATCTGATGTTTTTGATGATGTCCTTTGTTCCGTTTGTCGGATAGTCTCCATAATTAAAGATCGAGAAGGCTAAAGACTATTACTATACGAAACACAAAGCTGCATGTAAAGCATAGTTAGACAGTGGAGAGAGAGAGAGAGAGAGAGACCTTTCATGCTTTAAACTAAAATTTCTAGAGTTCTACTTTTACTTAACGTACATAATGGTCAAGGGATACATATTGAGGGCTTTTTAGGGCACCAAAAAAGTTTTGACATTGTGCCGGAAGTTACGATCAATCATGTTAATCGACCGTTGCAAAAAAAATATGGTGCAAAACCTACTTGTTAGGGTTATTATCAAGTTTTTGGTAGGGATATTACATTTTCTTAACTTCATCAAATGGCAATTTTATCCTCAAATCTTAACTTGAATCAAATTTTTTGAGTATAGTGCTGAGTATTCCTGCATAGAACATATATATTTAAGGACAAAACCCTAAATTTAGGATTTTCTTTCTCATTATTCGAGTTGTCGAATATTTAGCCGACTAAACTAGAAAGGGACTAAAACTAAGCTGACATAGCTGCATTCATTACCAGGCAAAGTAATCTACAAAGCTTCATAATTTGAAACTCTTCCAAGTCAAAATTAATTGAACTTCAATCATTTGTGTTCAACGTTGAGTCAATTTAAAGGTATAGATTGAGATAGAAATTGTCTGTATTATTGTTATACTTGCGAGTAAGATTGTTTGTGTATAACTCTTATTTTCTTATATATACAGTATTATAACGAACGTTTCCTATACCGTGTTGCCTAATCCTACAAACACTTCATGTATCAACTTACTAAATAGAGTGTACAATTTCAAAACTTCTTGTCATGCTGCTTAGATTTCAATTAAGATGGGCCATGGAGACCACTATATGTGGTACTATCATAGCTCGATGGCAGTGGTTTATTCAGATTTTGATATCTTTTGGTATAATATGGAATCATTTAAGCCACAAGTTTCATGTTAACAAAAGGTGGTAAGCTTTAGATTAATTATTTTCTTTGCATACATAAAACCTACTCATAAATTAAATTCTCAACACAAGATCATGATTTTGCGTTTTCAACTACTTCCGGTATGGTTATTATTCCCTTGATTTGTTGACGGAAAATACTTGTTTAAATTAAAAGAGCAAGTTACACTTTAACCTCGAGTTATTTAACATTCTACGACAATTTCAAAATAAAATTATCAAAATACTATATTTTGAACTTGCTTATTAAACTACGATACTTTTTTTAAAAATGGGGTTGTTGACACTACTTTTGTTAAAAAGAGAAGTCAAATAACTCCACTTTTAATGGTTGGTTGGAAGAGGCTATTTATTATTTCAGTCAAACGTAAAATGAGGTTGTGAAACCCCAATGAATTTACTATTAAAAGCGAGTAGAAGTCAACAACCATACTTTTTAAAAAGTGTCGTAGTTTGGTAAATAAGTTTAAAAGTGTCTTACTTTGATAAATTTGTTTTAAAATTGCCATAAAATAGTAAATAACTCCTTTAACCTCCTCAGTTATGACTATAATCTCACTTTATCCTACAAATTATCCCCCTACACTCAACATTTTAATGTATGCAACTTGGGCAACATGCATAGTTGGTGTTATAATATGAGAAATATAATAGTTGAGAAGATAATATAAAACAACGACTATAATTAAATGTGCAATATAAAGAATTGGCATCCTTCAAACCGTCTATCTACAATTCATAGTAATTAAACCAACATAGTTTGATAGGACTTATTGTTCTATTCCCATGTGTAATTAGCACTAACTCTGTGCATTGTACACATTTCTTTTGTCAAAAGGAGCAGAATTTGCAGGCTCTTTCCAACCAGGCTTAGACACAACCTGTCTTGTGACCCACTCTCCCTTCTATGTTCTAATGATGATGATCAATATTTAGATTTTCTTCCCATTATTTATCTTCTATTCCCTCTTAGCAATGATGGGTTTTGACAAGAGTCCTTTTCACTTTTGCTCGATGAGAACTCATTGGAGGGACTTGCATAGTTAGAAGATTCCATTCCTAGAGATGAGTCTAAACAAATAAATATAAACTAGCTGACTTTTTATGGACCAAACCAGCTAAGATTTGCTGGGAATTGATTTGACGTTTGAAGTGTTTTTTATCTTAAAAGCCTCAAAACTTCAATTACACTTCTTGGAGACCATGCAAAAGGCTCTTTAGCTTTGTATCTTTCCATTCAAAAGCTCCTTTTCCTCCCAATTTTTTGAAGAGCAACTTCTTTGAATCAAGTGGTGAACAAAGGTTTGTATTTCTTTT